CCTCCCTTAGATATTTGCCTGCAAGAAATCTCCCTAATAATGTTGTACACTAATCTCTACCTTAGAGACTGCTTCCTAGGAAGCCCACTCTCTAAGAATAACGGGGATGCCTAAATGTCTAGGCAGATAAGATCCAAGAATTCAAATATTGTCAGCATATCTCTCTTCAAATCTCCTCATCCCCTTTTCGTTACTAATTATTTTTGTTGGTGTATTTTTCTGTATATGGCCTCTTTGTTTTTTAATTTTAAATTCTTTTGAGAATTTCACATGACTACTGTATTTACCTCATTTCCACCTATTTCCTCAACTCCTACCATGCCACCTCCCACCTGTCTCTCAAATATATACATTATATAAAACCTACTGTGTCCATTTAGTGTTGCTCTCTCTCTCTCTCTCTCTCTCTCTCTCTCTCTCTCTTACACACACACACACACACACACAGTTTGAGATTGGATAACCTATCAAGGTGCTTTTCCCCAGGGGAAAAGGGTGATTTTTCCTCTTTGCAGCTACTGATTGTTTCTAGCTCTTTATCTAGGGGCAGGGCCTTGTGAGAACCCCCATTAACAATGGTACACTGGTGTTATCCTTATGCAAGTGTCATTTAGGCAACCATATTGTTGAGATTTCGTGGGTACGGCATCCTTGTCAAAGCTAGAAGACACTGTCTAGCAACAGCATGCATCCTGGTCTTATTTCTTGAAATCTTTGTGCCCCTTCTTCCTTTATGTTCCCTGAACTTTAGGTGTTAGGGGATGCATGGTTGATACAATAATTGGGACCCGTCACCTTTGATGGTCAGGTTTTGTCAACTCAGTAGGAAGCTAGAGTCATCTGGGAAGAAGGAACCTCAATTGAGGAATTGCCTCCATCAGATTGGCCTGTGATTTGTCTGTGAGACATTTTCTTGATTAATGGCTGATGAACGAGGGCTCAAAGCACTCTGAGTGATATCCTTGCGTAGGTGGTCTTAGGTTGTATAAGAAAGCAGATTGAGTAAGTAATGGGGAGGAAGCCAGTAAGCAGCACTCCTCTGTAGCCTGTTTTATTTCCTGCCTTAAATTTTGGCACTGACTTCCTTCATGATGGATTGTGACCTGGGAGTTGTAAGATGCAATAAACCTATGTTGCTTTTGGTCATGGTGTTTATCACAGGAACAGAAAGCAAACTAGAACAGCACCCCACAGACACTTATTCTCTAAACTTTGAGCAGTTATGGATCTCTGTAGTAGCAGTTGCTTGCAAAAAGAAGCTTCTTTGGCGAGGGAAGAGATAAGCTTCTTTGGTGTGGGTATAAGGATAAGGGATCAGAATACAGTTATAAATTATACTGGGTCAGGAAAATGGCAGTATTAGGTTATCTTCTAGGGTCTGTGAGTGCCCCAGTCACTAGTAGTTGGCTAGATTCATTGTACCAGGCACGAATTCCCTCCTAATGAAGGTGCCTTATAGTCCATTTAGACAGCTGTTGACTACCCCAAAGATAATAGTGCCAGAATTGCACCATTGAGGCTATCTTGCCTGACCAGTCATTGTTGTGGTTTGCAGGCTTTATATCTGGGTAGGACTTGCGACTGCTTTCCTCCCTTGGCAGCTTCATAGCACCTTTTGATACTGTGAGAGCTAGTCCTCAGGGAGGAGGCTTCCTAGACAGTTCCAGCACTGTTCCTTCATGTCCTGGTATAATTCTTATCCAGATTTTTTTTTAGCACGTGATAGTAGAGACAGACTATGGTCACACAAGGCATACATCATTGACAAAGAGGAAGTGAAAAAAATTAATTTTGTTCCTCAAGAGGATGCAAAAACACTGATTGGCCTTGTTTATATCAAGGACCCACACCTAGGACAATCACTGTTCAAGGGGACTTCTCAGTAATGAAGCTTAGGCAAGGAATGTGGGACCACATAACTGAGAGTTGCAGATTTTTGCCAAACTCGACAATATGGGGAGTCTAACAAACACAAGCTAGCCACAAAGGAAGGAAAACACACTTCCATCAGCACTAGGAACAAAATTCATCAGGACTTTTGATGTAGTTACAGATCTCCCTTTCTATAGTAATTTCCCTTCTTGAAATTCTGAGTAATCTAATTTGCAAATTGAGCTTTCAAGACAGAAAAGACAGAATCACATTCAGGAAGTAAATCAAGGAATATTCTGAAACTTGGGACTGCCTCTCTCCTCTGTTTCAAGGGCTTGTGAGTTCATGCTTATGTTTTCCACAGTCTAACTGCTGAATGCCTTCAGTTCAGGAGACAGTGGAAGCTGAAGGGATTGGGACAAGATGAGCCCTTGGCTGAAACCCATTAGCTAATACAGAGGTTTAAGTTTTTTCCTTCTCCTTGTGGACTCAGTGCTACACAGCTAATCCAGGTGCTCCTTCACTACCCTTTCTACCTGCGTGACCAAGGGCAGTACATACCGAAGCTTTCTTAAAGTCTTCCCAAAAGGGAAGTTAATTTCCATGGAAGAGAAAGATTTTACTTTTCTTCGTTGCAAGTGATCTTCTCCAGCTGTGAGACTGATTGAGGCTCTTAAGACTCATGAGAATGCTACTCAGGGTGTCGTGATTACTCTCATGAGGAGGAAATCTGCAGAAGGGAATGGTTGCTTATCCATGGCAAAACACTTCCTTCTCTGAATTTTCTTCTGAACTTTTAGAGGGAAGGAAAAGGAGGGAGAAATGTCCAAGAGGCATGTTTATGAGAAACAGAAAATATTGTCTCTTAGTATGTAAATGTTTATGGCATTCTCATTTCTTCTGCAGTAGAGCACATGAAAAACGGTGGGGAAAGCATGAAGACTTGGAACAGGGAAGATGACCTATTAGATAGGGAAAAAGAAAAGAAGGGAAAGTAACAGGAAAGGAGACCCTGTTGAATTTTGAAAAGCTTGAAGGACTGGGAGTCATCCTTACAGAGGACTCCCAGAGTGGCGAAGACAAAGAGAATTCATTTTAAGGTGTTTTATTGTTCTTTAGGCTCATATGACTCACTTCTTTAGTTACATGAGAAAAAAAGGTACTCATCTGAATTACTTTGTTTCAAAATCCAATTAAAAAACAGAACCCACTATAATTTCAACAGAGGGACTTTCACACCAGGAAAGTGTTACATGGGTGATGGAAAAGTGGAGAATCCCAACAGGGCTAAGAGGCAGCATTTAAAAAGAACAACTACAGGAAGTGGTTACCTCTCAGTTAGAGAGGAACTGGGAGGAGGTTGTCTCATCTCCCACCCCCACAGCAGCCAGGGCCATCTGGCGACATGGAGCCCTGCTATGCTACTAACTAGCAGGTGTTCATGACACTGAAGGAAGGGCTGACTGAGGGAAGCTGGAGGCCCAGTCGCGATTCACCCACCTGGTGAATGCCTGCTGAAGCAAAATTCTGCGGTGAGAAACTTTGTGTCTTCTCCTCTACTCCAGTTTAGCTAAATCAACCAGAAGCTATCAATCTAACGTGGCAAGAAGTATGGCAGTCCATGTAGAGGGTAGGCAAACACATTAGCAAACAAAGAGGCACATAACTTGCCAATGTTCTGATTTTTCTAACCATGCTTTAAATGTATCTATTTTGGGAATGAACATAGGAGGTCAGTTTGCCTCTATGTGAGTTATACATGTTCTAATTACCATGGAGAATGTCAAAATATCTTTCTTTAAATATCACGCAGCGAAAGAAACATGCTGTTATTACTAATTGTCACATCTCAGAGGTTGTCCATGTATTTCGTAGACAGCAACTGAGAGAGTTTATAGCCCGGTTCTTTTGAACTTTTGCCCTCTTCCAGTGCTCCAGTTTGTTTCTTGAAATTCTCTATTAGCTGTAACTACTGGACAGCCACCCTTGTACAGCCAGTCAGTTTTCATCACACAGTCACTTTACTATCTTAATGTGTTTCATGTCTTGAAGACAGAATAGCAACCAGGAGGTAGTTGTGTTACATCCAGCTTTAGCATCTCCCACACACTACCATACCATACCATACCATACCATACCATACCATACCATACCATACCATACCATACCAATCATGCTACATGATTGTCATTAAACATTTTGGAATTTTTGTTACATTTTCCTTTCCCGTAGTCCTATGTGAAGTGAGTTAAGGTGGAACTGACAAATTTAAGCTTATTTTCTGGTATCTTGCTTACAGGTGATACCAGTTGTTTGGACTTCAAATGACTTCCTGCATTATTCCTTGGCACTGTAACTGGGTCTAGGTAAGTTTACTTCCCTGGGTCTTGGTTTCCTCAACTGTAAGTGTAATCATAAAATAGAACCCACTTTATAGGTATTGAGTTATGAGAATCAACTGAATTGATTGATGTATATGTGGGCACAAGCATGTGTCTGTGTATGCATACATATGTATTTATATGTATGTTTCAACTCACAGGTGTATGTACATAATATAGACTGCTATCCATTTTAGATCACAAAATTGGCACACAGCACTCTATAAGCATTATCTGTCATTCTTTTTACTTTACCCAATGAGGATAAATCCTGTTGTAAAAGCCTGTCAGAAAATGTCACATATGTTTAATATGTTTTACCCAGCACCCACATGCTTTATCCATAGTTAAGTGGACCACTTGAAAATTGCAAGTAGATAACTGTTTAGTTAAAAATAATCAATTCACTGTGAACAATATGTTCACAAACTGCACAAATAATCTGATAATTAATAAAACAAACTTAAAAACTTGACAAATAGCCTCTCAGTTGTAGCAATTGCTTTTATTCTCCAGTTCATTTACTTGAGATTGAATCACGAGGTCTTTTTTCTTTCTGTAGTTTTTCTGTGGTTTAGAGATTTAAATTTGTTATGGAAACAGGCTTTCAGTTGACTAATGATTAGCTAATTTCTGATAATAGAAAAGGAAACATATTGCCCCAGGGCTGCTGTTTTCATTTCCTCATGCAAAGAAGAAGCACAGTAGAGAAGAAAAGCAGACGGTGCACACTGAACCTTTGCTACCATGGGGAACTGGGCTGTGAATGAGGGACTCTCCATCTTTGTCATTGTAAGTACCAACAACAGATACATTAGAAATTCTTTAACATGTTGGATTTCTCTTAGGAGCTAAAATAGAGCAATGGGTTTTCTTATTGTTGTTTGCTTAAGAAATTTACTTTTTATGTGAACAAGCATCTATTTGTAAGTAGGCTGAGTTAATTGTCCCATCCCAAACTTCTCAATTAAAAATATGCATCAACAGCTCTCATTTCTCCTAGTTTATTTCTGAGTTACCAAGACTATGAAATTAGCCAACATTTAGCAGAGAGAATATAACATACTTCATACTAAAGATCTCTAATTCTGAGATTATTTTCTTAATTACTCGGAGGTAAAATTCTCCACTTTTTATGTTATCTATTTCAAATGGTCAAAACTTTGCTGTTTTCTGAATAATATTTGTCTTATAGATTTCGTGGATGAGAAAGGGACCTTTATTTCAGTAATAAAAACAAAACAAACAAAATTCTCAAATTTCTTTTTAAAACAAGCACAGTTTTTTCTATGAGGTCTGAACTATAGTTACTTGTGAGTTTTACAACAAATCCAGATAAAAGAATAGAAATAAAATTATTTAGACTCATAAATATGCAGTCTGTATATTATATGTATTTGTGTATATATAAGGTATGTATGTAATATACAATTATATGTAAACCTACTTATCTTGAGAAACAATTTTGGAAATATGGTTATGGCTAATTTTCAATTACACATTGATTTCTGTTCTGTACTCCTAAGTTAGTGTTCTCAGCAAAGCAATTATGGATGAATCAAATTGAGAGAAATGTGGTATCTAAATATCTTTGCCAATCAGCTAATGAAGCATGGTGTTAAAATCATTTATGAATGAAAGTTTTATAAAAAATTTACCATGTGGTGCATGGAGTCTTTGAGTTCTGGAGATATTAATAAATCAGTAGCATGAATAAAATTAAAACAATAAATATTGGATTGAAACATAGTTCATGCCAAACCAACATTCTAATGCAACATAGAAGCATGAGGATTTGAAACTGTAGTCCTGAGTACTTACTACCATTTTAAGAGCAGATTATTCACCTAAGAAACAAACTGAAATAAAATCTTCTTCTAATTACAGTTTCCCCAGGAAGTAAGCTTTTAAAGAATATATGCATATACATGAAAGTAAAGACAGGGCTTAGAAATCTAGAGTAAGGGAGAATGGCAGGGTAAGAAATGAAGTTTCTGTAGCATCTTTGTAAAGAGAGACTGTTTTGAAGCATCCACGGGTATTTAATAGCTAGTATTAATAATAACTAATAATTTAATATTGAAACAAAGTCACTATGGAGCTGAAGGTAGAAGACTGGGCAGTATCACTCCTTGATAAGGTTATTGTTGGCATAAAATATGAACTTAAAATCTAGAACGTTTACTTTATTTTTAAATTTCATGACCTTGACCCCATTGTCCGTGTTCAATATCCCCTCCTTTAAAAGTTGAGGAAAACTTATCAAATAGAATGGTAATCTGTATGTGCTGCAAGTAGGCGACTGGCATCTGTGAGAGTAGAGTTCAGTTTCCTACAGGTTGAGAGTCAGCAATACCTTATTTCCATCTGTTCTTGCTTTACATACCAACCAATGTTACCTGTCTTTCTGAGCTTAAGATGAAAAGAAGAGGAGAGAGAAAAGAGAAGAGACAGACTGATATTAATTTAGTATGTTGACCAAGTAGTGAAGCAATCATGCAAAACCCTGAAGGAAGATAAAGTCAGTTGCTGAAAAGTGGAGTGGCACTGGAATAACAAAGTGCTGCCTCTAAGCTGATTGTATCCAGCTTTGTAACCACCTTTGTCAAAGCCAGAACTTGGAGGAAGCCCTGTCCTTTACTTGACTCTAGTATCATGTGGAATCCATCTATTTAGATTTATAAACCTCATCTGACTTTTCCTGTTTGTGCAGCTGGTGTGGTTGGGGTTGAACGTCTTCCTCTTTATTCACTACTACAAGTTTTATGATGATGGACCTAAGTACTTTTATACTCGAAAACTCCTTGGGGTGAGTAAACTTCTACCTCATGCAATATCAACCTGTTTACACTTCTAGGCAGATGTGCTTGTATGTATTCCTTTTAAGATTGAAAATAAATATTCTGATCAACCAAGACAACATCACCAGCTCCCCTCCCCAAATGTAAATTCTTTGGCAAGAGTCTCTTAAGGCCTGACAGTGTAAAAAAAAGAAGAGTCTCTTAAGGCCTGACAGTGTAAAAAAATGAAGTGTGGCAGAGGGTCCTAGCTGCATCCCTCTTTACCCATTATGTACCAAGCTTAACATAGGAATCCCTATAATGGAAAGCCTAGTGGGAGCCACCCATACAGAGGTGACACTGGTGTGACAATTGAAATTTTCTATAGTTTTCTAAGTTAGATGCTTCATATCATTTTTTATTTGCATGGAGAAGCCCTCATAATGACATGTGAAATGATCTTGAGAAAATGAACCCTAAGCTACATCTGGAGACTTGTGGGAACTTGTTTGTGTACTACATCATTTCAGTAGGCCAGCAGGAAGGAGAGCCTTGAATTTCTTTGAGTCCTTAAGTAATCTGTTTCCTTGAACTGTTATGTCTCTTCATCACAAATGAAAATAATTACAACTACTGGCACTCCCAGAGCACAGCATTTTTATATAATGCTGAAAACAATTACTTATATTAATGTTATAATCATTTGTTTAAATATTATCAAACATCACATTGTTAAATCTGTCTTTAATGTATCCACCATGATCTGTTCTCCTTGTATAATAGGCAACTTCTTTAGATATTGCTAAACAGATTTTGCCCAAGTATTACGCCATACAGTTAATGTCTAAATGCTAAGGGGACTTTGTTTAAAATCAAAGATCTAGTTCTTATACTGACCTCATGAGAATGGTATGTACACTTAAAGATTTAGGAGGAAGTAAGCTGATGCATGCAACTTACTTTAAAACATATCACATATATAAGAGGGCTCAAAGGATAGGAGTTCTTGCTACACAAGCATGAGGGTAAGAGTTCAGTTCCCCAGCTCCCATGTAAAAAGCTAAGTGTGGCCACACGCACCTATAACTCCACTATTGGAAGCGGGAGGGAGTAGTAGAGACAGTAGGATCCCTAGAGCTTACTGAACACCAGACTAGACAAAAGACAGCGAGATCCTGGTTCAAGGTGAGACCTTGTCACAAGGGAATAAAGCAGAGAGCAATAGAAATACAGCAGGACACCTGATAGTCTCCTCTGATAGAGAAAGGGATGGAAAGATAGATATATGATAATGCATGCATGCTAAAATGTAAAAGGTTTAGTCTGGGAGGTGGGTAAACAAAAATCAAAGTACATTTATTTCTACTCCTCTTCAGGTTTGAAACTTTAAAATATTCAGTTGGGGGTGAAAATCAGCTTCAGGTAAAATAAAGCATATCAGTAGACCCTAAGAAAAGGTTCTCTGCTCTGAAGGAAATTCCATTCTGGATGTCCTGAAGGAGCTATGTGGGGGTCCCATGATAGCGCTCAGGGGAGAGAAGTATGGGTCTTCTGCTCACCAGTCTCTCTCCTCCCTATCCACTCCCTTGTAGTCAGCACTGGCTCTGGCCAGGGCACCTGCAGCCTGCCTGAATTTCAACTGCATGCTGATCCTGCTGCCAGTGTGTCGAAATTTGCTCTCCTTCCTCAGGGGTTCCAGTGCGGTAAGAACAAACCTTCTGCTGACTGCCTCAACTTTTCAAGCCGTCATGCTCTTTTTAAGGAAGAGCAAAGTAATGCATTGGGAAGCTTATCTTGTCTAGAATATTCAAGAGCTACACCATGTCCTATGCTGTCATATACATCACATACATATATCAACACACATAAGTATTTATCTATTAAATGGTATATATCAAATTATAATATACTATTTGAGGGTAGTGTTCCCTGGAGCAATCATTTGACTTGGTAATTTTGAAAAATAGCTAAACAAACTATATATCAACAATAGTAATGGAGTAAACATACATGTGTTAGGGGTATATGAGCCAGACATGTGATATTTTGGAATTACCTGCTCAAGAATATTTTTAAGTTTTTATCAGAGAAAACACTTTTTGTGGGTAGCATCTCAAGCAAATTCAGTCATTGCACAAAACAACATACCATAAGAAAATATCAGTAGTAACAGTTGATTCCTATGGTGGCACATATCTATAATCCCAGCAATGAGGAGCCTGAGACAGGAAAATTTTAATTTTGAGGCCATCCCAGGATACATAGTGACTTCTAGGCTTCTCTCAGCTACATCGTGAGATCATTTTAAAAAGAAAACAAAAGTAAAGAAAAGCAAAGCAAAGGATTTTAGCTTCATGGGATTGAAAGCTTCAGAGCTTTCCTCATGTCCCTAACCCCCTTTGCCCTATAAGATTTTATATATGTTTTAAAAACTGGTAGCATTATATGAAGATGAAAATTAAGTCATTAATATTTATTTATCACATGTGTTCAAAGAAATGTTGTACTGAGCAAAATACGGTAGATCCCATAAAACATTAAAATAAAGAGCCATAGGCATCAAATATGACAGAAATTACATTAGATGGGGTAGGGAATGCCAGGAAGGTTTCAGAGAGAAGTAGCTTGAGAATCAGCATGTAAGGATAAATCAACAGCCAGAACTGGTTGATGAAATAGGAAAGTATTCTAGTTCAGTCAGGTTCCCCAGTTGTCGGACCGGAGTCGGTGATCTCTCACTAGCTCGGGTCAGCTAATTCTGTGGGTTTCTCCATCATGGTCTTGACTCCTTTGTTCATATTATTGCTCTCTGAATACAGATGACAATGGTGTGGCTGAGGCAATATCTGAGGCCACTGGCAATGGGTCCAAGATCTAGCTCTAATGCACAAACTGACTTTGTTGAGCCAATTCTATATAAACAGATACCTTGCCCATCCTAGACACAGGGGTGTGGAGGTGGTCCTGCCTCAAGGAGATGAATGGACAGACTTAGTAGACCTCCTAGGGGAGGCCTTACCCTCTCCAAGGAGCAGATTGGAGGTGGTTTGGGGGGCAGTGGGTGGAGTGGGAGGAGGGGAGGAGGGGGAACTGGGATTAGAATGTAAAAAATAAATTAAGAAAAAAGAAAAAAAGAGAAGTATTCTATGCGGAGACAATAGCATGGGCAAGAGCATAGAAAATGATGAGAAATTTTTATACTCAAAATGAAAAATATTTTAATACCTTCTGTATTACCCTTTATTGTGTTCCATTTAAATGTATTTGTTGGGCAAAGCATGCAGCTCAGTAGGACAGTGCTTGCCAACTATGTATGAGGCTGTGGGGTCAATCATCAGTACCAAAAGAAATGCAAAGGATGGTGTTTATCCAATGTATGAGTTGATGCTTAGATTGTTTTCCTTCTATGAACATTTGTGTACTTGGAGAATGAAGATGAATATGTTCAGGTTCTATCTGTCTTGGGAGAAAGAGGGATAGTATATTCTTCCCAAAGGGGAAAAATATAGAAACAGTGCACAGAATTGGACAGGTTGAACATGAAACTCAAGCCAAGGACAGGCAGCACCCTGAGCTGGATTGAGATATATTTCTGTGTAACTAGCCTTTAAAGCCTAATTATCAGCAAGACAATGCTTCACTTTGGGATTTTTTTGCTATTTCTGACCATATTGAATAATTCCTGAGAAATATTTAGGGGTTAGTGTCCTCCTAGGACCTGGAGTTCGACGGCCAGCTAGTCTTGCAGAATAGGTGAGCTTCGGATTCAGTGAGAGATTTTGCCTCAAAATTAAGGTGGAAAATAGAGAAGACACTTGACATCAACTTCTGAGCACCCCACAAACTTGTCCACCCCTCCCCCTCACTCCTAAAATCTTAAAATATGTAAGTTAAAATCAACTTTGAAGGAAAACAGCAAGCAAACTACATTTATGAGAGGACAGTAATTGTAATGGGTGTCTACGGCAGTGGTTCTCAACTTTCCTAATGCTGTGACCCTTTGTACAGTTCCTCTTGTTGTGGTGACCCACCCAACCATCAAATGATTTTCATTGCTACTTCATCACTGTCATTTTGCTACTGTTATGAATCATAATGTAAGCTTCCATGTTTTTCTACTCCCTGTGAAAGGGGTCACGACCCACAGGTTGAGAACTACTGCTCTAAGCTAAGACTTGGAAAGAGAGCAGGAAATTTGCTGGGAAACTAGGCACTTAAAAATAGAGCTAAGGAATTAACTCTTCAGTTGACAATTACTGAATATATGAACTAGATTGTGATTTACAGATTCAACTTATGTTTTACTTTACCTCCCTCTTTCTAGTCATATAAAATTCATATTAGTGTAAAGAAGAGTTTTTATTTAAAAACATACATCCATCAATTTGCTAAAATGGGATGAGCAGACAACAATTAAACTTTGATACTACCCACCTCTTTACAAAATACCATTTCATCTTAAACTGCATTCTCAGGGGTCTGAGAAGAGTCGGGAAAAGGTGCAGCTTGGTAGTGCCATGCAGTCAGCCCTGAGTTCCATATGTAGTTGAGCAAAGTGTTAGAGTCATTTTGCTCAGGAGCAAAACAACAAATCAAACAGACAGAAATAAAAGAAGAATGTTGGCAAATCCTTTGAGCTTCTCTGGAAAGGGTCAGGTCCTTTAGCACTGGAAAATATTGTGACAAAGCTCCTTTATCTAAGTCATTAATTTGATGTCACAATTTCACCTTGCAAACTGAGCAAAACCAGGGCAAAATCTCACAAGAGTACCTTGTGGTGGACATTGGCCACGAGGCTTTCCAAATAATCTCCTGAATGGAAGACTCCACAGACATGAAATTTCACTGGATTGAAAGGCTGAGAGCCAAGCTGCCCATCCATCTTTAAAATAGTACAGGAGCCAGATGAAGAGTTGCTAGATGAAACCATTGCACAGTGACTTTTTGTTTTTTATGGAGACATGATTTGAGTGCTGTAAAAAAATTCTCCCTGTCCCCACTTGAATACTTTCTATTTAGAGGAAGTAAAGCCTGAGAAACAGGCAGTGTTTTCACCAAGGTGGTCAGTTAAGAAATCCTGGTTACCCCACAACCCGAAGTTGCATAGCCTTAAGTGTCCATTTCCCATGAGCACCACATATAAAATGTCATGAGTATTTTTAATAGCAGTGGTAAATTGGAGAAAAGCCCAACTGTTTAACCAGATAGCTAGATCTTCATACAGAAGAACCGTTTCCCCCACTCATTTATTTATTTATTTATTTATTTAAATTAGCATATGGAGTCATGGACATTTTCATACATACTTGGTTCTGGCTGACCAGGCTCTTCACTGTCTTCTCTCCCCATCTCTCTGTCATTCATTGCCACTTATACTCCTCCTTCCCTAGAATTGCTCTTTATGCTTTCATACCACCTCTTCTGTGACCCTTCCTTCCCAATTCCCCTCCCTCAAAAACAATGGTCTGTTACAGGGATGGCATGCCCTTCCTTCTGAAATTGGCCGTCTGAAATTTGAACTTGGAAAAATGAAACTACTTTTCTGATTGAGATGTTAATGCTGTGACTAATGTTGGAGATCGGAACTGTCATAGCTCACTGAAGCATCATAGAACTCATGTAAAAGGAGTGAGGTGGCAACACAATTAAATGGGAGGATTGGGGTTCAAAGCCAGGTAATTGTGCTCCCAGAACCCATTTGATTTTGTATGTGTCAACTAAACATCTTGAGCTGTCCCTGTGGTTCTGTTTAATATGACTATTTGAACCTGCTAAATAACCTACTCTAGAAATGGTAAGGATATAATAATTTCAAGAACTTGTTAATGGAACACTGTGCTAACTAAACAGCCATGGAATTTTTGTTTGGTTTTAGAGGTCTGAATCATTCAGACTTGGGTTTTGAACCCTTCTGGTTGCCCCAAGGATAGGACTAAGCATACAGAAGTCCTTGGTGAACTTTTAATAACCTCGCTTATGTGTAGAAACAAATTTTTAACTTGTGACCATCCTAATCTTCAGGTCAGACTGAAACAGGAAGGTTAAAAGATAAGGTCTTTTGCCTTATGTCTTATATAGTCTCAGAATCAGAGGGCCTTGAATGGCTCCACCTCAAATGATGTGTCCTCCTAGAGGGAGTCCCTTGTGCTTTCTGTCTCAGGAATGATTTAGCAGGGAAGTAGGTCAAATAATGCAAATTAAATGTGAATATGCCCTTCTAGGAAGGGCTGTAGCTTAGTGCTGAAGAACATGCCAAATACAAAAGGCCCTAAATTCCATCTCCCATGTTGAAAAAAGAAGATGGATGAACATACTTTAGTAAAAATATACTGAAAATTAAGTTTGTCAGTTATTGAATTGTCACCCTGGTCTTTCAATATATTAATAACTGGAGACACAGAGTGAGTAAGGGCAGATGGCCACAAACTTAAGGAGCTTAGAGTCTTGTGGGAGAGATGTAGAATAAACATGGGATTTCAAAATTATAAGGAGTGCCATAGAAAGTGTTATCCTTCATATTTATCACATATTATTACCACCACCATGTGTGGGCATTACTGTTAGATTCTTTGCCTGAGTTCTGTAGGTAGATGTATGGATCGCTCTTGACATTTTACCGAAAATGTTTATGATCATGAAATGCAAACACAATCAGACAAAGTATACATAAAATAGAGCTACAAAAGCTCACAATACACCCTATTCAATATGTACTGCACTTTAGTTCCACTTTTCATTATTTTGAAATTCAGTTTCAATAGAACATAGAAATTTGCCAGGATGTCCCAACAATTGCCCTTGCTCTATAATGTTAGTTTGTTGAAATTGGGCAAGGCTTTTTGTGACAGTAACAGAGAAACTTCCTTTTAGAAGTTAGTGGACAAAGGCAAAGAGGTAGTTCCCTGAGGAAGCTATAAGGCATGATGACAGCTTGACTATTTGGGAGATGGCTGGTAATAATTCAGAGGTGGGCCAAAGCACAGAAATGGCATCTGTAGGATAAGGAGGAACAAAGAGGGCCCAGGCAATCAAAGACAGTAAAGCCCTTCCTTCAAACTTTACCAACTGATCATCCTGCCTCATTTTCAGGAAGTGGTGAGAAGATCATTTTCTTGAAAGTTCAGCATCAGCATGACTTGTGGCTTCTCTTTATGATTGCTGACCACACTGAAGATAGCAGTTAGGAAAAATGAAGGATTGCTATCCTGGTGGGACCTATTCCATTGACTCATGAGTTTTCTCTTTGAATAAAATGTGCTTTGCATTCATTACATGTTAAGATAAAATGGTTGTCTCTGAATGAACACTGTATTACCTAATGATATCTCTCCATTGTTCTAGCACTACATCTATATTTTATGGTTGTGTCAAAGATTGGTAAAGGACATCAACATCTGTTATTTCTCAAATTTTATGGATGCTAACAATAGCGATAAAGATGGTACTATGGAGATGATATAGGGAGCCTAACAAAGCCATACTGTTTCTCTTCAAATTTGTTGTGATGCAGGAGCTAGCTAACTTTTCCCTCAATCCTTCCTTCAAGAAAATAGAAAATAAGCAGTGGCAAATACAGATAGGCTTAATGATCTTATTTTCAAGGCAGGAAAGAGTGTGGTTCATTTGTGTGACCAAGTGATTATTAAAGAAAAAAATTAAAAGTATCTGGCATGTTGATCATTGTACAGGATACTTGCCCTCCAGCTGCAGAGCCAGGGTACATTAGATGAGAACATAGTTGTACAATGATGCAAGATAACATCAGATTCTAATGAAACATCTCTCAATGAATACATGCCTCCTAGAGAAGAGCTTAGGTGAGAAAACGGTCCTACAGCTAAGTGGTAGGTCTGTGACTCACCATAGATACATGTGGAGGCAGAATTTACTTTCAAATGTAATTCATTACTGCTTTCAACCATACTAATTCTTATCCTGTGATTCTTTGTTTGGTATTGGTTTTACTTTTTCTTTTCTTTTGAAATTTTTTATTAATTCATTTTTTAAATTCCAATTCCAGCTTCCCCTCTGTCTCCTTCTCTCACTCCCCCCACTCTCCCCAACCCCCATCTGCTCCTCAGAGAGGGTAAGTCCTCCCCTAGGAAGTCTACTAAGTCTGTCCCATCATCTCATTGTGGCAGGACCAAGGCACCTCTCCACCCCACCCCCATGTTTAGGCTGAGCAAGGTATCTCTCCATATAGAATGGGCTCCACTAAGTCAGTTTGTGCATTAGTGTTAGATCTTGGACCCATTGCCAGTCTTGTTGGTTTTAGTTTTTCTAGACAAGGTTTCTCTATGTAACAGCCTTGACTGTCCTGGAATTTGCCCTGTAGACCAGCCTTGAACTCACAGAGTTCTGCCTTCCTCTGTCTCCCAAGTGCTGGGATTAAAGGCCCGTGTCATTACCGCCCAGACTATCCTGGGATTCTTAAAAGTCCAATCCAGTTTGCCACTCCAGGAAGGATGTTATTAGTTATCTATTCCTGTGCAACAAATTGCCAGAGATGTAATGGTTTTGAACAGCCCTCACAAGCTGAAAGTTGTGTAAAACAGAGGTCCAACATCCTGTGTTTGACTTCTCTACTCAGAGTTCTATGAAACTGAGATTAAAAAAAAATGTTGCTGGGCTGAGAAGAAATGAGTGTACCTTGAAACTGTATTAGAATATTCTTCTGAAAGTCTGGGCTCAGAGATAGCATATGTTTCTAGCATGCCCAAGGCCCTGGGTTCTACCCTCAGCTCTGTACAACAAAATAAAAAACAACAAACCAAAAACCACTTTCCAAGCCCCTTCTTGGCAAAATTCTGTTCATTACAGTTACAGGTCTGTGGTCCCTATTTCCTTGCTAGCAGTCATCCATGGCCACTTTTGGCTCCTACATGCCCCATCACCTCCCTGCTTTGTAGCTGTCTCCATCCTCTAGCCAGGAACAGTAACTTAAGTCCTTGTATTTCAAATCTATAATTTCTTCCACTTGGAGCTTCTAGACCAATATTTTAAGAGATTACGTGATAGTGTCAGATACCCAGAAAATAATCTCCCTCTGTAAGTCAATTTTGGGCCTTACATCTTCAGAATCCATTTTATCATATAATCTAACAAAATGACACCTCCTAGTTATAGGTCCCATCCGAAGTCAAGGCAGAAGATTGCACCATGTCATTACAAGTCATTCCAGAATTCTGCCTACCAGAAGGACTACTATAGTAGTTAAGAGGCAGGGGCCGTTTCCTTAAAAGTATAAAGGAGTTCCCTGGTCTGAATGATTCCAATATTAAAGGACATAGGTAGCTGAATGATAACATGCCCTTTGTTGGTTTCTTTCCATTCTAGTATTTGTTCTCCTACCCCCACTTTCTATGACCACTTTCCACTAAGGATCCCAAAACTTAAATTCTTTTTTTATTTAAATTCTTTAATTACTACTCATATTTACATATCCATTCCCCCCATTTCCTTGCCCTCCCATCCTCCCATGTTCCCACCCAACCCACCCCCAACTCTTCCCCAGGGATAGTGAGGCCTCCCACCAGGAACCTTTAAAGTCTGACATATTGTTTGGGGGAGGGCCTAGGCCCTCCTTGCTGTATCTGGGCTGCAATAGTATCCCTCCATAGGGAATGGGCTCCCAAAGTCCATTTGTACTCTAGGGGTAAACACTGGCTCAGCTGTTAGAGGTCCCATAGACTGTTTTGGCCTCCTAGCTGACACCCACATTCAGAGGGCTTGGTTTGGTCCAACTCTGTTTCCCCAGCTTTATGTCAATCGTCTCCATGCTATCAGTAGATCAGGTCCACTGTTTCTGCAGGTCTCTCCAGCCCCGACTTGGCTTCTTTGCTCATCCCTCCTCCCTCTCCCCAACTGAATTCCAGGAGTATGGTTCAATGCTTAACTGTGGGTGCCTGTTTCTGCTTCGAACAGCAACAGGATGAAGGCTCTCCTTCCTCTCCCTGCCCCCGGGCTCCCACTTTGGTCAGGGGTTCTTGTCCCCATCCCCCTCCTCGAGGGACTATGCAATCTTCTCTTGGGGTCCTCCTTGTTTCCTCCAAAACTTAAATTCTTAAGTCAGATTTTTGAGGCACCTAGAATAACAGTGATGGTGTCCTTGCATTTAATGCAAAGTGAAAGTTTAATTTTTTATTGCAACAGGTAATGAGTAAATTGCCTGGGTCACACAAGACAATTAAGCTTTTCTACTTTATTTGGAATCCTTATCTTCTTTACAAGTAGTTTTGCAATTCCAAGGGTCATCTTTTATGTAGCCTTCCTTCCTTTTAGGTGTGGTGAACTGAGAAACAGTAGAGTAAGTACAATTTTTCATGCAACCATATAAGTAACCTCTTTATTTAAATTAAATACAATATTTAGACCCATGTATTGACAGTATCTAAGATTGTTTTAGGAGCTCACTGTCCTCTTTAAAGAACTTTGACTTTTCATGACAGTACATTTAAATTGTGGGGCAAAGCAGCTAGAACAAGAAAATGGCCAGATTTTATGAGGATAAAACTCTATTTCAACCATCAACAAGTTTTTACTTCCTCTGCTTTGAGCACTGATTTGACTCCACATTAAAATCATGCACTCTAACATATGGAGGTGGGTCAAATACACTGGACCCACTTTCTATTTTGAATGTCAAGGTATCATATAAATTACTGCAATATTGATACAAATAGTTCTCAGATGGTCTGGATTTAAATCCCATCTCTGTCCCTTACGGTCTATATCATATAAGGCAGGATAATCACCTTTGTTTTTTCAGCTCTTAGGTAATGGTCTCTTCTTAATAAAACTGATTTAAGAGTGAGAATTAAGTGAGCTAATACATGTAAAAGGCTTAAAGAGGCTCTTCTACAAGCTCTCAGTAATTAGTAGCTATTATTATTATTATTATTATTATTATTATATGAGAATGATCTTTTATTGTAATATCTCTGACCAAGTGAACCCTCTTCCCTCCTTCTATAGAGTATATGAACAATTGGATTGAAGACCTATTTGCTTCTTCTAGAATTGTTCACTCATCTTTGTCCCCACTTGATTCCTAGGAATGTAACAATAGGCCCACTGTTTATGAATTTCTAGATCCCTTATCTATTAAATAAATTAATCATAGCTAGAAATATATTTTGTCAAGATTCAAAACTTTATACAATGGTATTGGAAAGAGGACTTCACGTCACTAGCATTAGAACAGGAAGCATATTACTTAAGCTGGCTGTTTGAACTGGGAGAGATGACTAACTACCTCTATCAGTTTTCTCATCAACCAAGTGGATGGAAATATATCCTTGTAGAGTGGTTATGAGAATTACATGAGACGATGCATGTAAAGTATCTGAGACATAGAAGGCTTTCACATTAATGGTTTCTACCATTCTTTTTTCTCTTCATCCAAAGTGTTGCTCAACAAGAATTCGAAGACAACTGGATCGGAACCTCACTTTCCATAAAATGGTAGCATGGATGATAGCACTTCACACTGGTAAGTTTGAAATGACATTTGAAATGCAAACAAATTGTAACAGAGGACCCCTCTATTCTTGGATACATGTGTGTCAGACTCTCCAAGTCCAGATGAATTCAGTTCAAAGGCAATCAAATTCTACTTTCTGTTGTTAGGATTCGTGCCTATGGTGTTTTTTTTTTTAAATCATCGGATCTTTCTATATAAATAAAATAAAAATATGCCATATAGTCTGTCCTTGTATCCTCAACATTTCCTATTATTTTATTATAAAAATGTTTGTTAGTGAAAACACTATTTTTTTTATTCATTCTACCAAATCACTTTGCTACAAGTGTGGCCTTTGTTGATTTTTGCAGTAAACCAACAGAAATATGAGCTATAAATTGAAAATATCTGAAGGAAGCCCTTAACACCTCTACACCATAGTGATTATTACTAATATCTCATCATATGTATGCATACAATGTGTTTTTACATATAATGTATTATATTACTGTTTCAGTGTGGGTGTTGTTGCAACAAAGGATATGCCTAGAACTGTTATACAATCTCCATGAATTTGATTAAATAATTTATTTGGCAGAAAATAGACACAAATGGTGATGAACAAAAAAATGCTTTTAGTCTGCCTATGAGGAGTCTCTTACCTGATGCAACTGAACTTAGTATAGAGGTATTTAATTGGGTTTCTCTTCTTATACCAGATTGTTCAGGACTTTGAGTTGTGGTAAAGAAAAAAATTCAGAGGAAATGAATGATAATGTCCTGTTAGAAAGCAGCATACTATACTAGTAAGAATGGAGACACAGGTGCCACCAAGCTTGGATTTGACTCCTAATTCAGCTGCTTCTTAGCTAGGTGACCTTGGTCAAGGTTTTAAATCAATCTATTCCCTGGTTCCCTCATCTTTTAGATGAGCTGATATTAAATGTACTTAGACTATTGGTTTACTATAAGGATTGAGTGATTGTAAAGCACTTAGAACAGTGTCAGGCCCCTGAGAAGCTCTAGGCAAATGATGGTGAAATAATGAATACAATTTCTTTTTAATTCAAGAGATTCATGGTGTTGGCCACCAGTTTGTAGTAATTCAATTACATTTGTTCCTGTTTTCTGGAGGTGATTTAGCAGACATCATGTGAGTTCTTTTCTCACTTGAGCACAAATGCATTAGGGAAAAAGAGAGGATGTGAATATATCAAATGTATAATCTTGGAAATTATATGGATCTTCAGAACTGTCAAACGCCTTGGTTTTAAAATTGAGAGAACCAATACCAGAGAGGCTGTATAACTTCCCCCAGTCACACAGGCAGAAAGAAGTTTGGCCTATTAGAACTGTCTTGCCTCACTAGTTATTGTTTACAGCATCCTAAACCACATCCCTTTGTTTTGCTTGATTTGCTTGAGAGTCAAAGGCTGTGGCCAAAAACCTAGATTCCTATAATATTGTGCATCCCTCTTCTCCTCTCTTTCTCTTTTCTGTCCTCTTCAGCGATCCACACCATTGCACATCTCTTCAATGTTGAGTGGTGTGTGAATGCCAGAGTCAACAATTCTGACCCATATTCAGTAGCACTCTCTGAAATTGGTGACAAGGACAATGAAGAGTATCTCAATTTTGCTAGAGAAAAAATCAAGGTAAGTCTCCCCTTTTCTGATTCAGATGTTTGCTGGGCTATTAAAACAGAGGATAGTGAAAACCTATACTTTGTCCCTTAAAGTCAAAAAGGAAAAAGTTTGCTAATGGCTTAGAATGTAAGTGTAAAGGAACTGTCTCCTACCACATTGGTCCCATGGGTGCAGACTGCTCAGGTATTTCCTGAATCCTTGGCTCTCTTGGAGTAATTTTACATGCAGATCTTGTAGTAATTCATATTCACCCATGACTGTGCACACCAATAAAATAAAGCAAGGGATTCATGTCCAATCGAAGCTGGGTGTACTACTTGCCACCATGAAAGAGATCTCATACCTTAAAGAAGTACGAGTGAATTTCTGCAGAGAATGTTATGAGGGACTTGCTAGGCAACTTAAGCTTGTAGTAGATAGTTTGAGGGAGGGTATAAGAAAGACAGGATTTATTTCAATCATATATGATCAGGACTTGGGAGGTAGTTCTGGGATTACTTTCTTGATTATTTTTCTGGGAAACAGAAAGAAAAGAACAGGGTTAGCTGTAATAGGTAAAGCCATGTTTTGTCCAGACTCAAAATGATTTCATAACAGTCTTGGTTTTTTAAAGATTTATTTATTTAATTTTCCTGTGGGCATCCATAAGCTCTCATGGGTATCCATAGGCTTTCCTCCTATGAGTTCCTGAAGCTTCTTCCATCAGAAAGGAGCTCAGGCCATTTTTATGAACCCTGTGGCTTAGGAAGATAGTTAAGTTCCCCACTGAATTTCAAACACATTTTCTGAGTTTAGAAAAACATCTATAAGAAAAAAATCTTAATTTTTCCAAAAATTTTTAGATTCAAATTGATGTAAGAAAATCTGGAGTGATTCATCAGTTCTTTTTACATGACACCATGGATTCTTTTTCTTTCCATTGTTCATTGCCCAATGAATAAGGCTGACACTTTGAACACATCAGTTGAACTGACATTGTCATACTCTGTCTCATTTTCCTTGGGTCACTTTTATTGGATCTGCACTTCCCGCAAAATGTTTTCCTTTTCAATAACTTAAACCTGTCCCCTCTTCTTGAGGCCACCAGCATCTCTGCCCAAGGATGCTCACAGTTAACTTCTGTCTGAGAAAACTTTGGCAAACAATTGGTGAATGCAGGCCTTGAAGTGCAGCTTCTTCACTTTAGTCAGTACAAACTCTGAGGTGTAGCTAAATCTCAGATTGGTTTGTATATGCCTGAGTGTATGAAATTCTTTCACCCTCATTCAATAGAATTCTCTGAAATTAGAGACAGATAACAAAACAGAACAACACAAACAAACAAAACAGGGACAGTCTCACGGGGGATAGCCTCAGCTTGACCCTGTGCATCTCTGTGAATCACAGCCTTCTCTGGCCAACTGATATGAGCTCTGGCCTACAGGTTTTTACCATTTTCAGTTTCAGTTTCCTGAAAATAGACATAATAAGAGACCATCTATAAGGGCAAGTTAAAGCTAGCCCCGTGAGATGTGGTCTGTGAGTATCCCTTGCCTGACTTTCTCCTTTTCTCTTACCCATTCCTTCTTTGCAGAGCAGCTTCTCTTGAAACACCTTGTTTCTAAATCACTTGCCCATCAACTCTCATCTCAGGATCCTCTCCTGGTGATCTCAGCCACAGATGGCAGGTGTTCTTAGAATTCATTGGCCAACAAAGTACTGTGACCTTTCTAAATCAAAGAGATAGCGAGCATAGGACACCCTGAGGACATGTTTTACTGGGTCATTTCTTTATCATTGAACTCCGTTAGAATCATCTGAATGTAACAGCTCTTATCTATCTATGACTCCTCAACGATGTGAGACAGTTTAATTTGAAAACCTCAACACCATATCTCCGAGAGACATGATGAGGATAGTCAAAGGGACAAGAAATGCCTTATATAAACAGGTTTAAAGCAGAAACTCCTGCAATTATGAGCCTACATATTTCTATTTTCCAGAACCCTGAAGGAGGCCTGTATGTGGCCGTGACTCGATTGGCTGGTATCACAGGAGTTGTCATCACACTGTGTCTCATATTAATTATCACATCCTCTACCAAAACCATCCGGAGGTCTTACTTTGAAGTGTTCTGGTATACACACCATCTATTTGTGATCTTCTTCATTGGCCTTGCCATCCATGGAGCTGAGTGAGTTTTCTAACTCCATTGCCAAAGACTTGGGGTTCACTTTCTAGATGTATTGTCCAGTGACAGGCAAAGGGACTTCCTTGCTTTTGTGTGGTCACCCTGTCTGCTGAGGGATTGTAATAGGACAGCAGAGGTCAGTCAAAAGAAATAGCAATGTTTTTGCTTTCTTGTTGTACCAATCTAAGTCATGATGCAGTTACTTAAAATAAGCTTGAAACATACACCTAGTTTCAAGCTAGCAATATGTTATGGTTAGTTTCAAGGCCACTGTGTATGATTGTGTAGATTATCTACTAAAAATTCCTGCATAAAGAGAAGGAAGATGGTCTACTTTCTGTTTGCCACACCTTATTGAAAGCATTGGAAGGTTCTTGGATGTCCACCACATTGTTTACTGTGGCTAAATCACAAGTTGGTTAGGCAAAATCCCCAAATAAAAGAGTAAGTGATTCAGCTAAACACTGAACTGAACTCCTGGAACCCAGTTGCAGAGAGAGGAGTGATGAACAGTGGGGCCAAGACCAGGCTGGTGAGACCCATAGAAACAGCTGACCTGAACAAGGGGAAGCTCAGGGACCCCAAACTGATGGCTGAGAGGCCAGCATGGGACTGCTCCAGATCCCCTGAACACGGGTGTCAGTGAGGAGGCCTTGGCAATCTATTGGGCCTCGGGTAGTAGACCAGTATTTACCCCTGGCACACAAATGGACTTTGGGAGCCCATTCCACATGGAGGGATGCTCTCTCAGTCTGGACACATGTGGGAGGGCCTAGGACCTGCCTGGGATGATAACAGACTTTTGAGATCCCCCATGGAGGGCCTCACCCTCCCTGGGGAGCAGGGGGGTGTTGGGGGACTAGGGGGGACTGGTGGGCAGGGCAGGAGAGGAGGGGAGGGAGAGGGAGCTGGGACTGACATGTGAAGCAAGCTTGTTACTAATTTAAAAAATAATAAAAAACTATTCAAGATGGATGCTTGAAAAAGAATATTAAGAAGAACAAAATAAGTGATTAATCAGTTGACAAGGTATTCCATTGTCCAGTTATTTTGATTTAAGCAAATAATCATTACCTACTAAGTATGAGGATCTATCTCAGGAACTGTGGATGAATGCTAGCTAGAAAAATACATAGGCATTGCTTCCAAACTTTTGAATATGATGAAAGTAATAACTTCTACCAAGCTCTATGTCAGGTACTAAGAACTTAACATTCAATGTTTCTTTTAACTCCTGTAATGTATAGATATGGAACCCCAAAATAAAAATGGTACAATATGTGGGCCAGCCCACTCCCAGCTGGTGTGCAGCTTGAAGAACAGGTAGTCTAGAGTGAGCTGTGGTGAATAATCCCACAAAGATACACAGTGCTTGACTGTATGCTTGGAAAAATCTGCTTTAATATCAGGTTTCATTTGTCTACTCTTTCACACCACCTGCACATAAAAGCCATGCCCAGGGAAGTTCCATGATGGCTATAGTTCCGGGAATGTAAGGGTGGGGAAAGTTAATATGCAAAACTCAAGCCAAGTAACCTAGGGGTGACCAAGTCTTGAGAGTGAAAAGAGGAAGGATGAGAAGAAGTAACTGTGGCCAACTTCTGTGTGCATTCTTAACCTACTTCCTGTCTTGAACCCTTGATAAACTCTTTCTAAGCACTAAGAAATCTGTAGGAATTAACAATCTCTTAAGTCTCCTAAAGCAACAGTGTCTTTAAGTGGAGCTTGCTCACACTTCAGCTATCTCAGTGAATCCTACAAAGGTGAAGGCATTTCTTACCCTCCCTCCTTTACTAATTCCACCACTTGCTGTTGCACAGTGACACAGATAGCCATCTTCCTCTGGATCAGACAGGGGTTTATTTGCCTTATTGTCTACCTAAGTCACAGTTGCTATTTACACTGGTTAAGTGATTGCTCAGGGTCTCATGGCTAGGTAACAGATGAAGTGGAATTAAAATTCTGATTTGCAAACTTTGGGTCCAATTGTTTAGAACATGAAGGAAATAATGCATTTTTTTCTGTTATTATTCCCCATGTGAACTGGGAATCAAGACCTTTGGTAATTACTATTCCTCAGACTCCTGCTTTGTACCTGGTGTTTTCCACATGCCACATCCATTGATCACTGAATTCAGTCCTTGGTGAAGAAATGTACCTGTTTTACAGATGGAGTAACTCTTACTCAAAAGAAGCTAATTTTATCAAGACTACCAAAGTGTGAATGGGTAGACTTGAGATTTGAGGTCAAGGTTATCTGTGTACCCTCATGTAAAATTTGCAAAAATCGTACTTGCTTCTCAATCTTATATTGCAGATTAACTAAGATAATTGGTGAATAGTACTTTTCCTCAAGCCTACCCATAATAAGTCCCCCTATGAGGAAAGTCTCTTCACCAAGACCTAGGAATAGGAAAGGGGTCTACACAGTAATTTCCAGGCCAGCCAGAGGATATGATGAGACCCTGTTTCACAAAAGGGTGGAGAATGGTTAATGGCCTTGAGTTAAGCCATTCTCAGAATGTACTAAATGATACATTAAATTTTAAGTAGCCCAAATGAAGTTTACAAATGGACTTCCATGTCTCTTCTATTGATATATTCTGAAGACCATGCCATTTACATTCTTTGAAATAACTTACTCCATTTTGTGTCTCCCTCTTTCCATCAGGACTAACCCAGAATTGCCTAATATTCTAATATTTGCTTACTTAATAATTATTGAGTTGAACTAAATAGGCTGTAAACACCTTAAGGAACATAGTATGGTGCTCATATCTATGAGGATGGTTAAATCTTCTCAGAAAGATACCATTTTTCAAATATTTTCCAGATGTAGTCTTACTATGTAGACTAGGTTGGCCTCAAGCTCACACTCTTCATGCCTTAACATGTAGAGTTCAGGGATTACAGGTGTGCACCATGCCTGGTCTTGACAAGTTAGTGATCTACAAATAAGCACTTCTGATAGCCTCAAGGCCATTGTGTATGGTTGTGTGGGTTGTCCAGAATATAAAAATACCTGTTGAAAAATTCTGGACGGTAGTCTTCTCTCTGCTGGCCACACCTTGGCTTGTAGGAGTGTCTTCACAGATGACCCTTTTCAAATCTGCACAAAGGCACCCCATGGATTAACAGTCAGCCTGCTAGAACTATCATTTTTTTCTGGGATCTGTTTGTCTAAACACAAAAATGATACTTGAATAGAAGCCTGTTCTCCTTTTTTTATTTTTTTTTAAAAATACATGTTGGTAATCCAAGACTCACAATCCATAAAATGTTACACATCAATGTTCTTTGTACCACTGCCCAGCCCAGAGTTTTTCTATTGTTCAAGATTGCACATTTTCATTTCCTTCCCTAATTCAATCGGAAGGGGTGATAATAAAAAGCTCAGGGTCCCCCATCAAAGTCTTTGCAATATGTCCATACAGCTAGCTCATTGATAGAGTGCTTGCCTAGCATATATGAGGCACTGGATTCCAAGAGTCTAAAACACTCAAGCAGCTTATTGTTTTATTATTAAGTGATGCAGACTTACGTTTTTTTATTCACCAGACGAATTGTACGTGGACAGACTAAAGACAGTTTGGAGAAGCATGATATAAAGTTCTGTGAAAACAAAATCTCAGAATGGGGAACAATAGAGCAATGCCCAGTACCAAAGTTCTCTGGAAATCCTCCTATGGTATGTATTTGTATTGCTTTTTTTTTATAGTGCTGGTAGGCTTTTTATTTATATTACTGGTAGGCTTAAGAAACAGGTACAAATGTTATAGATACTTTACTATGTGAATTGGTTAGAACTTTTTCTTGAAAAACAAACTTCACATTGATCTGTGGTCAATGTCCTAGAATGAAGTTGGAAAGCAGTGATTTTAAATTGCTTTTTGGGGTGGAAAGCCACCACTACCACCACCACCGCCTCCTCCTCTTCTTCTGGATGTGAAGATAACAGTGATAGCAGTTAATGGTTTTCCAAGGTGCACATAGGGATTCTATCCTGATCTGAGCTGTAGGGCTCAAAAAATCACCTATAAGGAGCTGTGGGTTTCTTTGGTTACCAGGAAATCTATGTGGCATTCTATATGGCTTTCAGAATCATTAAGAAAATGGATGAAGCAGTGCATTGTGCTGCCTTTAGGCATCAGGAGACCTCGTCTATCAGGACCACAAAGGTTGCACAGCCAGAATCATACAAACACCAAGGGCAATCACCTTGTGATAGAGTAGGGGTGAGACAAGGGTAATTAGGGGGAAACAAGGTGAAATTCTTGCTTTCTCATAGATAGTTCTTCTGAGCTCCATTCTGGGCAGTCTTTATATCTCTGCCCCATAAAGCTAACTCTATAATCTTCATGTTGCTCTTTCCTTTCACTGGGAGACACAATACTTTGTTAGTTGCTGTGCTAGCCATTGGTGTAAAATGAAACAAAACTCAACATTTGTCTGGGGCTTCTGACTAGTATTATAACTCTTTTCTTAAGCATTGTATAACATAAAGACAAATCTCCTATCCCATTTTCTCCTATTCTCTTGATATGGGAATATTCTTTTACTATGCCCATCACTCTACAACAGCTTAATGCCTTTGAGTATCCTTGCTCATGAATGAAATCAGGCTGATTAAGCAGTGACTTGCCACACTATATTCAGCCATTGATGGAAAGGATAAAAAAAAAACCTTATTATTAGTTCTTTTATGGGTGAGAGAAGTCACAGTTCCTTGATGACAGCTGCAGTGAGTTCTACTTCCCTTGCAGGCAATGGCCACCAAACTACTTCTAGGTTTCTGAGGATATCAAAGGACTTGTCCAAATCTGATGCCATTCAATGTCACTCTACGGTATCACACAGGAAATAGATGGGAAATCTTTAAAGCAACCATCTTATAAAGATGAAGTAGAGCAAAAGAATACTCCTCACCCCTGTTACAGATACTCTTCAGTTTTGGCTAGTGATGTGGATAATCTGAGTACTTTCAATTTTTCCAACAATATAGTATCAAAAATATAGCTTAATAGACTATCGAAACTATAACGTCTTACTTATGGTTTCTAAACCTGTGATCAAACACCAAGACAAAGAGCAAATTGGGGAGGAACTGTTTTATTTCAGCTTGTACCTCTTAGGTCACACTCCGTCCCTGAAGGAACTTAGGGCAAGAACCCGAGGCAGGAACTAATGCAAAGGCCATGGAGGGGTACTGCTTACTGGTTTTCTTTTACTGGCTTGTTCCTCCTGGCTTGCTCAGTCTGCTTTCTTAAAGAAACCATTGCCAACAGTGAGCTGGGCCCTCCCACATCAATCATCAATCAAGAAAATGAATGCCCTACAGACCTGCCCACAGGAAATCTTGATGGAGGCACTTTTTCTCAATTGAGATTCCTCTTCCAGGATAACTAGAGCTTGTGTCAAGTTGACAAGAGAAAAACCCAACAAAACCAACCAGGACATATGAGAAACATGCTTTTATTTTCTACTTCAGATTCCATTCTAGAAAATTAAATTTTAGATATTTTAAATTTTTGGTACTTCAAATATTAGATTAGGAATCCAACTGATAGACCTGTTGGGCCTAAATGTTTATATAGAACCTAAAAGTCTATGAAGCGTTTTCTATATTCTGACCAGAGACTTATATAGAAACCTTAGAATCTTCATGTGTGTCCCTTCAGCAAAAGCATTGCATAGCTCCTACAGTCTACCAGAATATTGAAGAAGATGGCTGAAGTCTTCCACAAAATTTGCCATCTTGCAAAAGACTAATTTTAGACTCAATGACTGGGAGACAACAATTGCAATGTTGCATTAAAAATCTCATGTCACTGAAATGAGACAGGTTCATTCTGATACCATCTGGGCTCTGCCGTAGGCTAGTCCAAAGTCAGTTTTGACACTGAGAGGAAATCTCATTCTTGTAGCAAGTTCCTCTTTCGAAGTCTCACACTGTAGATACAGATCCTATAACATATAACCCTAATGTGACTATTTTACTGGCTTTGCAGTTTATCTTAACTTTTGATATTTTCATACATTCTGTTTGATAAAAACATGCTCATCAGTGGTAAATACTTAAACAAGTGTACAGAGGTTAGTCTGGCTTGTAAAATGTTTTCTCACTCTGAATATTTTACTAGCCGTCACCACTCCCTTAACACATCTCATGTTTGTATTTGATGTGATTACAGACTTGGAAATGGATAGTGGGTCCCATGTTCCTGTATCTCTGTGAGAGGCTGGTCCGGTTTTGGCGATCTCAACAGAAGGTGGTCATCACCAAGGTATTTACTGGTGTGGGAATTCTTACTAGCTAAGTGTCACATGGGCAAGTCTCCTCACATTTTCTATATTGTTGATCAAAAAGGTCTCTTAGCCATGTTCTTTTTATTAAACTGAAAACAGAAAGCCTACAGTTTATTTTAATGAGTTTAACTAAGTGCTGAAATGGATTGGCCTCTAAGTGGGGACATTATAAAGTATCACTTTCTATGGTAACCTCACACACACATTATGTGTTAGTGAGACAAAAACTTTTAGGTACTCAAAACAACAAGACTCAGACTAAGGAGGTTGAAAGATCTTTCTAGTTCCTCCTTCTATTTTTTATAAGTAATCACAGTGTATTAGTTTCACGTGCATAAACTTCACCATGTCTTTTGTCTCCGACCTCCAAGTCTGGAGTGCCTTTTCTCTGTTTTTCTATGTTATGGTTTTCCTTACATAATAAAGAGAGACATATACAATTAGATAGACTCTATCAAATAGATAGATAGGGAAATAGATAGATAGATAGATAGATAGATAGATAGATAGATAGATAGATAGATAGACAAATAGGAAGGTTCCTTGTTGCAGTTTCAGTAAAAACCCAACAAGATTGTTTTGTCAAATAAAATTTATTTCTGATCAATTAACTTCAAAGAGCCTATTATAGGTTATTTTTTGAAAGACACAAAGATTCCTTCTGTCTTCCCACTAGCTTTTTTTTTCAGGTGATATCTATGGAGAGTAATAGTAGAGCTGATTCTGCTGGCATTGGGGGGTTTGCCATCTAGGAACATGCAACTGCTCTCCTTTTATGCTATTTATAGCGATCAACAAATGGGCCTTCCACAATTTTTCCCTTCATAAATAAGACATGACCAAACCCAACAAATAATTTCTCCTTAATGTGTTTCTATGACAAATTTGTTACCTTGTGAAGGAAATGAATGTTCACTTTCTTCTCATGCAAATACAAGAGACAGGGGTTGTCCAAAAAATATTCCAGTGAGAATGCTGTCTACTAGTATATCTTACTTAGTTAAATCCTCTTTGTGCTTATAATAATAAAATTTCAACATGAAAAATTGTTTTTACCAAAAAAGGAAAAAAAATGTTTTTAACACCCAAAATTACAACATGCTAAACAATTTTCAGCATAATTTTCTCTATTCAAAATGATGCTTTCCAATTCCTTATTTCAGAGCAGAGGAAGTTGTTTGCAGCCTTGTCATAGGAGATGCATTTAAATCCAAAGTTTTGAAAATGTTTTACAATGTTTTGGTGGTGCTAGGTGTCAAACTCAAGCATCATATATACTAAGTATGTACTTTGCCACTTAGCTGAAGCCATGATAGTAACTTTTCATAGTAGTAATCCCCACACTTGGGCGGTTCACTCACGGACAGAAAAGGCCAGCAATATCAGTGTGCATTGAGAAGCTGTTGTTCCTGTCCTCCAGAACTTTCACTCCTTTGGTGGCCTTCCCTTTGTCCATACCTGTACCTCTGAAATTCTTCTAGGTATTGAAGGCATCTTTGAAGAGCAGCATGTTCCCTTTATGATTTGTTTTTACTTTGATTTCATTCAGTTAGCTCCTCATAATTGCACATCTTTATAAGCTACAATGTAGAGTTCCCCTGTGTAATCAAGTAAAGTAGTAACACAGCTTCCAACCCATACATACATGATTTCACTGTCGTAAAGATATCCAAAGTCTTGTAGAAGCAGTGACATAGGCAACATATTATTCAGCACCAGACCACCAGGACTTTTTCATCATATCTGACTGCAAGTCAGTACCTGCCGATTCTCATGTCTCCTTCCACCCCACTCCCCTTAACCTTTGCTAACTACCCCTTTATACTCAATCTATATTAGCTGAACTTTTTCAAGTCATGGTATGAGTGAGATCATGCTTCATCTGTGTCTGACTTATTTCACTTGTGTCCTTCAGGTTCGTGTTGCACATGGCAAGATGTGACCCTTTTAAAGCTGAATAGCCATCTACTGTGCAAATGCAGCACATTTTCCTTATCCAGTCATTGTACAGTTAGGTTGATTCCAGAGCATAGCTGTAGTGCTGAAATAAACTTGGGAGTGAAGATATCTTTTTGACAAGAAAGAATACTTGCTTTCTGGTTCCCTTATTCTGTCCTGTTTTAGAATCATCTATCCATTTACTAGATTTGGATGATTTGAATAGACTTTCTATGGGCAGTTGTATGTATGGACAATAAATATAGTACCTGGCTTGGGGAGAGAGAGATGGTGTCCTCCCTAATTGGGGAGAAATGTGGAAACATTGCATGGAATTGGGCATGTTAAGGTGTGATTCAGGACAAGAACAGACAACACGGATAGCTTCATTTAGGGGATTTTGCCATATTCAGTGAAATCTGTATATTCTGGCTGGATGCCAATGCCCTCTCTCATGGCCAGGAAAGACAGAAAGAACGAACAGGAAGCTTTGTTATTTTCTATTTTTTTCTTGTGCCTTCTTTAGCTTCAGTGAGAGAGAGAGAGGAAAGAGAGACAGAGAGAGAGAGAGAGAGAGAGAGTCACAACAGACTGACAGTTTCAATTTCCTGCTAAAGTCTGTGAAACAGAACCGAATGCAAAAAAAAACATTATTATGACTGTGTTCTCAGGGGCTGTACTCATAATGAAAGTAAAACCAGATGTGTTAACACATTCCCATGATGCCAATAATCAGGAAGTTGAGGTAGGAGAGCATGAGCTCAAGGCCAGCTTGGGCTACATCACTCCTTTCAGACTACCCTGGGCTACATACAGAAACTATGTCTCAAAACAAACAAGAAAAAAAATGTTAAAATACTAAGAAAGATAGAATGAGGAAAAGAGATGGGCTGACCTGGTCCACACTGTGGTTGCAGCTGCAATGTCAGCTGACCCTACAAGGGAATGCTGGAGTTGTCTCAGACTGAAGAGACAAGACTAGGATTTTGTGTCCGTACTTCAGCCCATCATTAATTAGCCAATGGCTACAATTGAGGACAAAGCCCAAATGACTGATGTATCTGTTTCTGTGTTGGTCCTTGAATAAGAGCCACAGGCAGGGCATCTTAATGCAAATGTGTTGTTGACATGTAATTTCCAGGGTCATGTTTTATTCTGCAGGTGGTCACTCACCCTTTTAAAACCATTGAGCTTCAGATGAAGAAGAAGGGATTCAAGATGGAGGTAGGACAGTACATTTTTGTCAAGTGCCCCAAGGTATCCAAGCTGGAATGGCACCCATTCACCCTGACCTCTGCTCCTGAGGAAGACTTTTTTAGCATTCATATCCGTATCGTGGGAGACTGGACAGAAGGGCTATTCAATGCTTGTGGCTGTGATAAGCAAGAGTTCCAAGATGCCTGGAAACTGCCTAAGTGAGTATAGAATGCATATTGCAAATGTGTATGAATTTGCAAGAAATGGTGCTTAATAGTTGTGATTTCCTGCCCTACCATGTGATCTGAGTGACAAAGCACAGTGTTTCAAAGAAAACAGTTATGTGTCTTCCATTGCATGTTGTATGTTTATGCATATGTTCAGGTATCTTAGGTAAACTATAAAGAATTGAGATCAAATATTAGTAATAGCCTCAACTTTCTTTAAATATGTGAAGGGCAAGGCCAAGTCATGTTAACTTTTTCTGAAAAACAAAAAGCATATCAGAGATACTCTTTGACTTCAAATAACATCATTTGTTTGAAAGTATTATTTATTTTGCATCCTTCTCTCCACTTGTCTAACACAGTACTGGGGATTCAGTAGATGCTAAAGAAAAGGTTTTTGAATTGTTCGGTGAATAAATAAGTGGAAAGTGGTGTATCAAATCAACACTGTTATTATATTTTTAAAAAGTCTTACTTAAATGTATAATGCAATTAGGAATTGCAAATTTGGATTGCCCAGTCAGTCGTGAGGCCCATGCCTACAATCCCAGTACTTGGGAAGTGGAAACAGGAGGATCAGGAGTTAAAGGTTTTTCCCTGACAACATAGGAAAAAAAACCAAGGTGCTTTCCATATAGCTCTATGAGTAAGAGAGCTTCTTGTGCAGACCAGATGTCCTGAGTCCAATCCCTGTCCCCCCTGGATCACATGGTTGAAGAAAAGAAACTCCTCAGAGTTGTCCTCTGAACTCATGTGCACACATACAGTAAGAACAATAGCAACAACACCAATAATAGTAATAATAATAACAAAAATCAGATATATTTTGCTATAACAAGAGAAAGATGTGAGCTGGAGAGATGGCTCAGCCATTATGAGCGCTGGCTGTTCTTCCAGAAGACCTGGGGTTGATTCTAAGCACTTACAACTATCTAACACCATCTGGGCCGGGATGGGGGCAACCATCCTTTTCTAGCCTCTATGATCACCAGGTATGCACCTGGTACACAGACACACATGCAGGCAAGACATCCATACACAAACAATAAATAAATCTAAAGAGGGTTTGTGTGTGTGTGTGTGTGTGTGTGTGTGTGTGTGTGTGTGTGTGTGTGTGTGTGTTTGTGTGTGTGTGTGCTGTGTGTGGAGTGGGAAAGAAGAGCATAAAAATGAAAAAAAATGCTCATGGTAAGCTAGCAAAGGTTTTCAGTTAGATAATCATTCATATTCTTATTTTCAACCCCCATGGTGGCATTAAATGACTTACATGAAAGCCATTTTATGAAGGTTCCCCATATAAACACTACCTCAGCAGACTCAACCTAGTGCACATCTCCAATAATAAAGTGCATTCTACTTCCTGTACAGATGAAGAAACACCTACAACTATCTATCTATCCCTTTCCCTTTTCATCCAGGATAGCAGTTGATGGGCCCTTTGGCACAGCCAGTGAAGACGTGTTCAGCTATGAAGTGGTGATGCTAGTGGGAGCAGGGATTGGAGTTACACCTTTTGCCTCCATTCTCAAGTCTGTCTGGTACAAATATTGCAATAATGCTACAAATCTGAGGCTCAAAAAGGTAAGTTCCTCTTATTTTCTGGAGGGCCTGGATTAGATCCCATGCAGAATAGCAAGGCTTTCAGAGCTCAGGGCAAGTGAGGGAAAGATCTGAGTGATTGCAGAGAGACCACAGAGGCAGGCTTCTCCTCCAGGTCAGTTAATGTACTTGTGTATAAACAGACCAATTAGCAAAAGTAATATGCTGTGTTTTTGCAGCAGTATTCTAAGTTCAGCAAATTTGAGAAAATGTCTTTTCTATCATCCTGAGTTATATAACGATATTAGATTATATAATGACATTGACTCTATTTTCAGCTCTTCAGTACTTCTTTTTTAGCAGGATAGGGTGGGAGCCATGGAACATTTTACTTACCTATGGATGCCTTTTGAGGATAAATTCCTTGGGGATTGTTACAAGTCAATTACTGGATGAGAGGTGTCGTGGTAAACCTCAAAACATTCCAATAACTGTTGAGATAGGTTCTCATAGGGACCTGAGGTTCGCTTCACGTTTCATTCTTTCATTTTACTTTTTTTCTATGTGACAAAGGTATGAGTAAGACTAACTTTTCCCTAGGAACTTGTGAGGGTCTGGCAGTCCCAGGCAGGGAAGATGTCCACTGTGTTGATTCCTTTGGCCATTCTCAGAGCAGATACATAGGAGGCCAGGGATTCTGGGGGAGAAACAGCAGCTAGAAGAGAGACTAGAGAGCCATAAGATAGTGGTTATCTATGTATTAGCTAAACCATCAATTTATTGATTTACTTTTAAATTTTTTTTATTTATGTTTGTGTGCTTGTCTGTGTGTGTGCATGTGTGCGCGCGTGCATGCCAGATTTGTAGAGGAGCTGCTAGAGGCTAGGAGAGTGTGGATGCCCTTAGGCAGGAGTAACAGGCATCTGTGAGCCACTTGACACAGGTGCTGGGAACAGAACTTTCATCCCCTGGAAAAGCAGAGAGCACTCTGACCCACTGAAGCACCTACCTCTCCAGCAGCTCCTCAAAATGATTTGTTTACTCATCTGCCTGCCTGCAAGTTAGAGAAGGGTTAGGTAAATGAGCCTATGAAGTATCCACAGTGTGATAAAGCACACCTGCAATTCCAGCACTTGAGAGGCAGAAATGGGAAGATACCAAGTTTGGAACCAGCCTAGGCTATTTTAAAGACCCTGTCTTGAAACAGTGACAAATATCATCAGAAACTGTTTCTAGGCCTTCTGGACATCATGAAAATGTTTAGAGCATTAGAAACCCATCCTTTAAAGTTGAAAAAGACTACCCCCTGTATAATCTGATTTGTGACCCCTCCTTCTTCAGATCTACTTCTACTGGCTGTGCAGGGACACACATGCCTTTGAGTGGTTTGCAGACCTGCTGCAGCTGCTGGAGACCCAGATGCAGGAAAGGAACAATGCTGACTTCCTCAGCTACAATATCTACCTTACTGGCTGGGATGAGTCTCAGGTGAGGACAAGAATCCAGTTCTTGGGTCCTTCTTAGTGTGTTCAGAGCTCGCTGGCTTCTTTGTATATATTGGTATGTTCTGTACACTGCATTTCCCCATCAAGGACAGCTAATGGATTCAAGTGACCCAGCTTGCTCACACTCACTATCACCATCAGATATTTAGACCATTAAGACTTGATTCCATCCTAGAGCCTTCTAGTAGCTGATGAAAGCAGAAGCAGACACCCACAACTAAACACTGAGCTGAACTCTGGAATCCAGTTGCAGAGAGGGAGGAGTGATGAGCAAAGGGGTCAAGACCAGGCTGGAGAAACCTACAACTGACCTGAATGAGGGGGAGCTCATGGACCCCAGACTGATAGCTGGGAAACCAGCATAGGACTGATCCTGACCCCCTGAATGTGGGTGTTAGTTTGGAGGTCTGGTTAATCTATGGGGCCTCTTGTAGTAGATCAGTATTTATCCCTAGTACACGAATGGACTTTGGGAGCCCACTCCACATAGAGGGATACTCTCTCCTTCTGGACACACAGGGAGGGTCGAGGCCCTGCTCAAAATGATATAACAAACTTTGAAGATCCCCCATGGAAAGCCTCACCGTCTCTGGGGAGCAGAAAGGGGTTGGGATACAGAGTGAGGTGGCAGGGGAGGAGGGGAGGGAGAGGGAACTGGGATTGACATGTAAAACAAGCTTGTTTCTAACTTAAATTTTAAAAAAAGTGAAAAAAGACTTGATTCCAAACTAAAGGGCTTGTGTTGACATTAGAGCACTGTTCCCACCAAGGAGCAGGAATCTCAAAACAGATGGACAAAACTCACCAAATGGTAATGAGGAGAAAAGTCTATACCTCTCTCTTGTACATTAATTTATATGTTATGCATGATTTATGATATAGTCAATGAATGTACATGCAATCAACTCTCCATATACTTGAGGTTCTGCTCTGTATATTCCATCAACCTAATCAAAATATTTGGGAGAAAAGTAACCATACTAAACATATACAGTCTTTTTCTTGTAATTACTCCCTAAACAATACAGTATAACAACTAGTTATAGGATTTACATTGACTGGTGTCAAATCTAGATATGATTTAAAATATGTAAGAGACTTGAGCATTTATGGATTTTAGGTCCTACAACTAATCCTTTCCAGAGTCTGAATTCTGGTCCAGGCATTTGTTGTTTGTTTGTTTGTTTGTTTTTGTTTTGTTTTTTTTTGAGATAGGGTTTTTCTGTGTAACAGTCCTGGCTGTCCTGGAACTTGCTCTGTAGACCAGGCTGGTCTCGAAACTCACAGAGATCTTCTAGCCTCTGCCTCACGAGTGCTGGGACTAAAGGTGTGTGCCACCACTGCCCAGTCCCCAGGCATGTTTTTAGTGTTTATATCGACTGTCTAATTTTATTTGTCAAATGTATTGCCTAATTAGAGTCAAAAGCCTAGAACTGAAAAGGTTATTTGCATAAAGGCATCCAAAAAGTACATGGCAGCCTGACTGCTCCAGAGCCTGCATTCAGCCAACTCCCAGAAATTTGTGATTATAAATCAACACACACACACACACACACACACACACACACACACACACACACACACAATATATATATAATGAAGAACAACTTTAATGTATATTATATATGCAAGTGAATATGTGTGATGAAAATACTTGGAGACTACCAAACTTCTTCAACTGAATGCAATATAGTTTCTCACAAGGAACACAAATTTAAGAAATGCTGTATGAAGCCTCATTAGAGCCTATAATGGTTAGTTTTAAGTGTCAGTCTGGAAAGGTAATCTCAATGGAGTAAATATTTAGATCAAATTGGCCTAGAGGTATATCTGTGGGGGATTGTCTTAGTTGCTAATTGATGTGGGACTATTCAGTCCATCATAGGTGGCACCATTCCCCGGGGAAGGGGCCCCTGAACTGTATAGGATAGGAGAAAGCTAGATAGAAGCAGAAAGCAAGCAGAATGGGTGCACTTATTTCTTTCTGCCCTTGACTGTGGATATGACTAGCTGGTTCCAGTTCTTTCCACCTTGCCTCTCCACAAGGATGATCTGTAATCTGGAATTGTGAGCCAAATTAACCCCTTTTCACCTAAGTAGATTTTATCCTACTTTGTGACAGCAACAAGAATAGAAACTAGGACACATCCCCTGTAGTATGAATTTGCTTTTCTTCAAGGGCAATAACATCCTTGAAGGCCAATGCAGAACTTTTGAGTCAACCAAGGAGGAAATAGTTAATGGTTTAGCCTTGCAGTCAGCTAAAACATGATCCATGTGACCTTGAGGTCAGGCTGTGTCTAAGACAGGAAGGAATAATAGGTAACTGCATTTACTGTCATTAGTTTACCTTTTAGCTTTCGTAGCTTAGGACAAGGAGAGAAGAGTTCATTGTGTTACTGCCATCAGTTTCCCTTGGGTTCCATAGCTGTTCAAAGTCCCGGTTGTTGGTTCATCTTGAACTCGCCATGAGTCACAAGCAGCTGCAGGTCTAGATCATTTACAGAAAGGTCTGGGCTGATTTCTTTTTGTTACAACAATGGAAGGCCAACACTAGAAAATGAATTACAAGCAGCTGGAAGATTTCCTGTCAATAGCATTTAAAATTCATCTCCTTTTAAATGCCCCCCCACACTAACTGGGCCAGTATTGAAGGTCTGTAGTAAGCACCTGCCTCTAGGGGCAGGGCTTATGTAATGTATGAAGGTCACATTTCATTCGGGGGACAGTTATTCTCATTTTGTCTCATCTTTGTATTTTATTTCCTTTTCTCTTTTACCTCGAGTTTAGGTTGGCCTTACTTGGATTGTAAAAGAGGATTTTTTCTCTTTAATGCAGGGGGAGTCTTTCTTCAAGTGATGTCTCCCTTACACCTGAACTTTTACAAAGCTTTTTACAAAGGCAACTTCTGTAAAGGGAGTTACTGACCATTGACTATGCCATTGTCTCATAAAGAACTGAACTCACTTATTGCTGTCCATATGTCTAGCATAGTATCTGGATAACAAATGGGTATAGAAGATCCTTTCATTCCCTTTCTTCCTGAATAGCACCCCTTACCATCATAACCAGTATATGCGTGTGTGCATCTCTCTCTCTCTCTCTCTCTCTCTCTCTCTCTCTCTGTGTGTGTGTGTGTGTGTGTGTGTGTGTGTGTGTGGAGTTCAATTTGATTTGTGAAATGTGTGTTTCTTTATCCTGAACATATATCGTTTGTTACAGGCCAATCACTTTGCTGTACACCATGATGAGGAGAAAGATGTGATCACTGGCTTAAAACAAAAGACTCAGTATGGAAGGCCCAACTGGGATAATGAGTTCAAGACAATTGCAAGTCAACACCCTAAGTAAGGAGTCCTCCACTGAAGTGTTCTTGAAGCTGTGGTCTGTCTAAAGCAGCAGTCCCTGAGCACTGACCATACTTTATAGTCTAAAAGTTAGCATTAACACTTCCGTAATATGGTAATGCAGTTGAGTTCTTCCCCAACAGATGACTGATGTCTCTGACTTTAAGAAAGAATCTTTAAATCATAGCAAAATTACATGGAGAGTAATTTTCTCAACATCCTAATCCAAGCTGCACCATAGCATTTCTTTATTTCAGTTGCCCAAATTTCACTAGTACATATGTTTAAGTAGTGAGTACAGCTAGCTTATGCTTATTATTAAGAATACTGTGCCTTCACTTTCAGTTCAAGTGTCTGAGTCAAATCATAAGTTGACAGATGACACAAGTTTCTTTGTGTTGTCACTACAGTTTTGTCCATTGTGAAACCTTGAGGAAATTCCCCTGTCTCCTAGAACACACAAAAAACACATGAGCTTACCATAAATATATCTTTTCGAGTAGATGTGGCAAACACTTTGAATTGCCGTTGCAACAAGACATTGTGATCTTCAAATGTGTTGAGCTGCATGCATAGCTATTCTGAGATGCATGTGGTCCATTAGCCCCAGGTTAGATACACCTGCTTTATTTGAACCATGCTTTCTATACTTTGATGAACACATAAATTACCTGTCTATGGTTTTATGTGCATATTCTGATTCATTAGGTATGAAGTGGGCCCAGGAACCTGCATTATTAAAATATGATGCTTTTTAAGTGGCATGGGGCCACATTTTGAAAAGCAAGGATTTCAACTGTAAGACTTCAAGGGATGAAGCTGCTATCTGAGTTGGGATATCCAATGAGGGTTTGTTACTGATTGTCAAATACTAGAAAGATGGGAGGGGGTGGAGTCCTACAGGAAAGTACACTGTAGCTTCACATGTTAGCCATGATATCTTTGTGATAGAAATTTCCAAAAACTGTGCTTGGATTTCATTTTCTGGGGCTGTCATCCACTTTTGAGTTTTCCAGCTTTCCCTACAATCAGGGGTAAGCTCAATCCTTGTGAGTAATATGAACATTTTTGTCATTTGTCAAAAAATAGGAATAGAAGGGGCTCTACTTAATAGGAAATTAACCCACCTCCTTTGTTGTCCAACTAATGCCAAAGGCTGAAATCTTCTTTTCTTTCTCAATAGCACCAGAATAGGAGTTTTCCTCTGTGGCCCTGAAGCCTTGGCTGAAACCCTCAGCAAACAGAGCATCTCCAACTCGGAGTCTGGCCCTCGTGGAGTACATTTCATATTCAACAAGGAAAACTTCTAACTCAGCTCTTTCATGAAGAAATAAGTGTATGCTGCCAAATGCCCCAATATTGCTTGTTGACTGTATGAGCTCCATCCTCTGAAGAAAGAAGGAAGAAAGGCAACTATAATGACATAGCCCCCCCCAAAAGAATTGCAAATGTTGTTTGCTAGTGATAGGTCACATTTGAATGGAGCTTCATGGCTTTCACATCACTCTTAGAAACATCTCATGTTGCTTTATTTCATCTTTTCCTCTGCATGCCAGAAGAGGGGAAGGCAAGAATTGTCTGGGGCTCGTTTTAGGATAAACATTAGGAGCTCTAGTAATTTCATCACTTTCCCTCAGATTCAAAAGCTGAAACCAGTTCTATGCCACCTGACTCCATGTGTGGTGATCTTTTCATATTTAATACCAGGCCATCTCAAGAATCAGATTTTATACCCTCCCCAAACAGGAGAGCTAATCAAAGAGTAGCTCATCATTCTTCATTTTTGTTTCATCTTTAACACTAGCATTATCCAAAAGGAGAGTGATTTTTTATGGAGGAGATAATAATGGTGACAGGATTGTCATGGAAGTATATTCCAGTTTACCAGCACAACAGCCTAATTGGGTCAGAGATTATTCCTACAAAGGAACAGTAGACTGGAGTTAAGGTGGCACTCTGCATTTAGCATGGTGCTTGGCAGAGTGGGTGTTCAAGTTCATCTTATTGAATAAATGAACAAATGAATGCAAACATTTAGAGCTATACAATGTCAGAGTGGAATTAATTTGATGCCAGAGACAAAATTACACTTCTGTTACTTTTACAGACCAGAGGATCCTGATTCCCCTGGTGGGTAGAGAGCAGGATATGAACCAGTAGGATAACCTGGCCTAGTGTATTCATCCTATTGATATTTGGAGGCAAGAGGGATGAATTCAGAGACCTAAGCTGCTATGATTATGCTGGCTATAAACCCATAAGATGGGAAAGAAAAACATATCTGTTTACTGCCAGAAATGGTCAGTTCTAGCCAACCCTTGTGGATTTTGCACTGATTCTAGCAAACGTTTTTGTGATAATACATATCCTGTTTAGAATCCATTTATTCTTTTTTTTGCTTAGACACTCACACAATTAGACCTATGTGTATAGATAATAACTTGTTTTTACTACAGCATTTTCATCACCACCATTACCAGCATTGCCATCTTCCTGAAATATAAATCCTCAAAACTGTAATCCTGAAATAGTGAAATCACACCCAATATTTTAATGGGTAGCTAGACACACTATAAGTGCAAGACACAGCCTAAATCACTGCTAGAGTAGTAACAAGTTCTTTACAAAATCTACTGACATTTCTGGGAACTAAAAACAGCTATGATTGCCCCACCACCAGGAATACAAATATTTACAACTATTCAGCTTTGGAAATGAGGAAGAAAAAGCAGAGGGAAGGGCAGATGCCTTGTTGCAGAGAAAGGAAAATATGGAGACAACAGAAGGGAAAATAAAGTGCGACACTCAAAAGGGAAAGGGTGGGGGAGGGGTCTCGCAGTGTTCTGTTTCACCCTCCAGTTCTGTTTTGTATGTATTGCATGTGATTTGAGGGAGGCATGCAGACTCATCTTGTTCTGACTTCAGATGGTGTTGAATCTTTTCAATTCTGGTCACAAATTTTGATGTTATGTGGACATGTTGAAGGGACTAGATGAAGCAAGAGCTCAGATGTCCCTTATGTTACTTCTACACCCTTATTCTGCCACCATCCTTAGAGCACTAAAGGTTGCTTCTGGCAAATAAGGCCTTCCTAGATGTGCACATGACACCACAAAAAATGCTCCCCCTGGAGAAAGGTCTGATCTCTTCATGTTGCACTCTAGGCATGAGTCCATTCATTTAACATGCATTTGTTTTGTATAATTCATACGAGTAAGACACTGTGTGCATAGTTGCAATTATTTGTAGCAAATTTTGAGTTAGAGGGAGACCTCAGTTACACAGAATTTGAACATATGTTTCTAACAAAGTGGTATTAAATAGTGTCTCTCTGTTTGTTACTCCAAGAATGTTTCTCCAATTTTCTATAGATACCAACACAGTTCCCAAAACAGAGATCTATCTACCCTGTGTTATTTTGGCTCTGAGATGGAAAATGAGTGCAATGTGCTTCTTGTTTGAGAACTTCCTTCTTTTTCCTCCCAAGCTCCCAGCCCCCAGCTCCCAGCTGCCAGCATAGCTCTTTCCGCATTTATTTCTTAGAATGTAGTAGCAGATATTTCGGTATATATTTAGCAAAAAATATCAAATGAGAAAATAAGGCGACACATCCTTTTCTTAGTTTTCTTGCTTTTGTAATATTGTGTTTATGGAATTGGAATACACGCTGTCACTGTATATAAATGGCTTCGGGGAGAAGATCTGGGCATAACTTTTAGAAATAGCTATTAAAGTTTGTTTAGATGTTGAAATAGGTAAGCTTCCCCTGTGTCTGTGTTATTGAACTTACTATTAGAGGGTGAATCAGCTAGCAGTCGTCCCATCTCTTCGAAAGAGTGTTGTTCTAATGAGTTCATCAGTTACAGCCCTCACTGGAGCTGTGAACACATGTTTGGTGATGTTATCCTGGGTGGAAAGTACATCACCTAAGGCAGATGGTGCTAATACAAATAGCCAACATTTGTTGTGCACCTACTACTATTCCAAGCATTTTACATATACCTCAGGTACCCCTTAGCAATATCACAAAGTTCACATTTTAATCTTAATCTTGTTGATAAGAAAACTATCCAAGGAAAGATAATTAGCAAGGGTCCTACAGTTAATGGATAGGTATACCAGTGATACATCCACATTTTTTAGCAATAGGGTCCATGTTTCTTTCACTGGCAGATTAAATAAGGTTTGTGGAGCCAAAATACACGCTGAGAATGGTTGGGTCATGGTGGTAGTGAAGACCAAGTCTGTTGGTATGTCAATGGAAAAAAATTGGATCCATGTTAATTTTTACTTTTTTTTTTTTTGCTTTTCAAGACAGGGTTTCTCTGTGGCTTTGGAGGCTGTCCTGGAACTAGCTCTTGTAGACTAGGCTGGTCTCGAACTCACAGAGATCCACCTGCCTCTGCCTCCCGAGTGCTGGGATTAAAGGCGTGCACCACCAACGCCTGGCTTAAAGATGAATTTTATAAAGAAGTGAAAAGCCAGGTATTCTTATGCACACATGCAATCCCAGCATTCAGAAGGCTGAGTCAGTATTATGAAGTCAAGGCCAGTTTGACCTATACATCCAGATCCCATTTTAACCCCTCCCCAACAAACAAGAATTACTTTTCTTGAAGAAAGGAATGCTCTAGCAATCCAATTTAAATTTAGTTTATATATATTATTTATAAATATTTATGCCTTTCAGAGAATAGCCAGCCATTGGTTGAAGGGTGTGTGTGTGTGTGTGTGTGTGTGTGTGTGTGTGTGTGTGTTTTGTGTGCAATAAATTTTCGTGAGGAAGAAGTGAAATTATAAAATGACAGGATTTCTCAAATTTAAGTGCTGTTCTGCAGAACAAAAAATGCTGACAGTGGCTAGGCAATTTGACCACTGGTAGTTTCTAAATTGTGGAAAAATGATCAACCAGTTAAGCATGGCTTAATTGTTATATCCTTTTGTGTGTTGTGTTGTTGAATGAGGACTTGATAGTCTACACAAGCTGAATGGTCTGGCTCAGAGTTACTAAAAATAGATCATCAATAACAAAGAAAATATAAGATTTCAAGTTGTACAAAAAAAAAAAAACCAAACCCAATCCCCAAGTGACTGTTCCAGGGCTAAAGGGAAGTACTAGGAATGGCAATGTAGGAGAAGAAGCCACTGTGAGTTAATTTTGGGGATTTTACACTGAGAACTAACAACAAAACAGTTGTGCTGGTCTTATTTTGGGGGAAAGCCCCAAACATTATATTCTGAAACGTGATCTTCAGAGAAGATTGCACAAATTTAGCAAACCTGATTTATATTAAAATGTCAAGTTCAAAATATCTCCATAAATCCTACAATCACATTAGAATATTGAATAATCAGGGTTTTTTCCATTCTGTTAGATCACTTGATTGCTAAGCATCACTTCCTCCTTTTAGTTAGGCAATTCCCACTTGAGTAACAATATAATTGCTAGCCCAAAAGCTAAACTTTACTCTGCAGAAGCAGATGGGGACAAGCCAAGTTATAAGAATAAATCACCCATCTTTCCCAAAGAGTGTAGATCAGATTTCAGTTTGCGCTTGTGTTGGTTGATAAGAAAAAAAAATATTATCTGATCCCCTCTAACTGTTTATGGATTGTGTCTCTGTTGGCTAAAAGCCACCATGGTACTCTATTGACATGGAAGTTAATCCCTACCTGGTGTGTAAAGGTCAGCAGAGCTAGCTGATCCTCCTGTTTTTCAGTGGCGAGCTCTGCATCGGCCATGGCTAAAACATCACACTCAGACATCTGTGTTGTCCACTACCTGCCGCATTCATTGCTAGGTGCTCCATTCTGCTGGAGCGCCTGTGGATTTTCTGAGATCAAACTCAACAGCAAGCTTGACCATGAACAAATTACAAAGCTGTAAAGCCTTTTAGAAGATGAATATATTTTTCCTTTATAAAAATAATCAACAAAGTTTACTTTCTACTTAAGGCTATGATATATCAAAGGCTAGGAATGGGATTAAAAGGAAAAAGTGAAACAAATAGACAGTATCATCATTAACTAGAGAGAAAATGGAATATAAATAGATGATTTTATTGGCTTTTAAAGAGGTGAATAATGCTTACATTAATTACAATTTATCCCCAGATTTCCATTTCTCTGTATTCACATGATTTGTCTCCAATGTAACTTTGTGTCTCTTTCCATCAATAGAAATATTCCCATTAAGTAGTATATTTAAGACATTGGATCTGTAGATCTATACCTTCCCATCTATAGGAGAAATGTCCCCTTAAAGTAGTGTACTTAGTACACTGGATCTTTAGATCTATAATGATTATAACACATAGCTCAACTCAAAGTGAAAAAAAGTCTTAACAATGTAAATGTTTGTTGATTTTCTAATTTTACAACTAGTAGGCAAATCGCAGAAGACCTAACTATGGTTAAAATAGAATACAGAGTTATTAACTGTGATACTACATAACTGAAGGCATACTAGAGGAGGTGTGATATTGGTAAAAGTTGCAAGAGAAAAATGGTAGATGTGGAGGCTGAAGAGATAGCTCAGTGGTATTGCTCAAGCCAGGCAGTGGTGGCACATGCCTTTAATCCAAGCACTCGGGAGGCAGAGGCAGGAGGATCTTTGTGAGTTTTAGGCCAGCCTCGTCTACAAGAGCTAGTTCCAGGAGAGCCTCCAAAGCCACAGAGAAACCCTACCTCAACACCCCCCCCCCAAGACGCTTATTGCTCTAGCAGAGGACCTAGTTTCAGTTCCTACCACAGTATCAGATGGTTCACAACAACCTGTAACTCCAATTCCAGGAAGTTTGATGCCCTCTGACCTCTGAACACCTGGCAAGCCAGTGGTGCACATAAACTCATGCAGGCATATACACACACAAAAATTCTAAAATCTCTTTATAGACGTGGGGCTGAAATGGTGGCTCACTGGTTAACAACACTGACTGCTCTTCCACAGGACTTGGCTTCAATTCCTAGCACCCACATGGTGGGTCACAACTGTCTGTAACTCCGTTCTTGGAGATTCGATGCCCCCTTCTAGCCTTTGAGGGTACCAGGCATGATGTGGTATACAGACATCCATGCAGGCAAAAACATAAAATTCAACTGTAAAATAAAATGAGGATATATAGTATCTATGTATATAGAGACAACCATGAAAAGAAATGCCTACTTCCTGTATCAATTTCTAGTTTAGTCAAGACCTACTTGTGACACAGCAGTTAACTAACCACACTCTGGTAGATGGCCCTGCATTGAAGTGTATATGGGCAGGAGAAATAGGACTTGATGGATTAACAAAAGAAGAGGACAAAATGTTGGGTAGTTAGGGAAGTGGGATAGATAAAGGAGAAACAGAGGAAGACGAATGGACATGATCAAAATACATTCGATGAAATTCTCAAAGAATAAGAATACTTTTTAGATGTGGGGTTGTTGAATATATTTTGTCATTCTTTGGGCTGGCGTTTTGTTTGCTGACTGTGTCCTTTGCCTTACGGAAGCTTCTCAGTTTCAGGACGTCCCTTTATTAATTGTCGATCTCAATGTTTGAGCTACTGGAGTTATGTTCAGAAGCAGTCTCCTGTACCAATTCGTTCAAGGGTGCCCCCTACCTTCTCTTCTAGGAGGTTCAGTGTGGCTGAATTTATGTTAAGGTCTTTGATCCATTTGGACTTAAGTTTAGTGCATGACGATAGATATGGATCAATCTACAGTCTTCTACATGTTCCAATCCAGTTATGCCAGCACCATTTGTTGAAGATGCTTTTTTTTCCCATTGTATAAATTTAGCTTCTTTGTCAAAAATCAGGTGTTCATAGGTGTGTTTATTACTATCAGTGTTTTTAATTCGATTCCATTGGTCAACCTGTCTATTTTTGTGCCAATACCAAGCTGTTTTCAGGATTATGGCTGTATAATAGAGCTTGAAGTCAGGGATGGTGATGCCTCCGGAAGTTTCTTTATTGTACAGGTTTGTTTCGGCTATCCTGGGTTTTTTGTTTTGTTTTGTTTTGTTTTTCCATATGAAGTTGAGTACTATTCTTTCAAGGTCTGTGAAGAATTGTGTTGGGAATTTGATGGGAATTTCATTGAATCTATAGATAGCTTTTGGCAAGATTGCCATTTTTACTATGTTGATCCTACCTATCCAAGAGAATGGGAGGTCTTTCCATTTTCAAATATATTTTTTAATTTCTATCTTTAAAAACTCAAAGTTCTTACTATACAGGTCTTTCTCATTTTTGGTTAGTGTTACCCAAAGATATCATCTGACAGAGGGCTGATCACCAAAATATGCAGTGAACTCAAGAAGCTAGCCACCAAAACACCAAACAATGCAATTAAAAGATGGAGTGCAGAACTAAATAGAGAATTCTCAATAGAGGAATCCAAAATGGCTGAAAGACACATAAGAAAGTGTTCAACATCCTTAGCCATCAGGGAAATGCAACTCAAAACCACTCTGAGATACCATCTTACTCCTGTCAGAATGGCTAAAATCAATAACACCAATGACAATCTATGCTGGAGAGGATGTGGAGAAAGAGGAACTCTCCTCCATTGCTGGTGGGAGTGCAAACTTGTACAACCACTTTGGAAAGCACTCTGGTGGTTTCTCAGGAAAATGGAAATCAGTCTACCTCAAGATCCAACAATCCCTCTCTTGGGCATATACCCAAAGAATGCACACTCATACAATAAGGAC